GTATGGAGTACTTGTCTAAGAAAGGGTTTGTACACAGAGACCTGGCTGCTAGGAATATACTAATAGCTGATCATGGAACGTGTAAAGTAAAGTGTTTAGTGTATTAATATTAATTATAAACATTATTAAACAGATTGCTGACTTTGGAATGTCAAGAGATCTACATGATGAAAATTATTACATTTCTAATTCAAAAATGATTCCTATCAAATGGACAGCTCCTGAAGTAACAATGAATCACTAAAAACTAACTCAATTGTATTGTACATTATTATCACTAGGCTTTACATTTCAAGCGTTATTCCAGTGCTAGTGATGTATGGAGTTATGGTGCAGTAATGTATGAGATATGGAGTCTGGGACATAAACCATTTGAAAACTACACAAATCAAGAGGTATGTAATCAAAATTGAAAGATGATTCATTTATAATTCTTTTATTTAATTCATCAAATAATTTTTGAGTCATAATCATTTTTTACATTAAGAAATTTTTGAAAAAAGCAGATGTATTAATTTAGCCCATGGTTTTTCAAAAACGGGTCCAGAGTAATTCCAAATGTTTATTGCATTTTTTGATACATATTGATGTCCCTATGCTACATAGAAAGTTTGAGGTGTTTTTGACAGATAATTTTCAACATTTTCTTTTCTGATGATCTCTTCATAATTTTTGAAATTAAAATATTTCCTAGTGTTTAAGAAGAGTTGATTCAGGATTTCGTCTTCCTCCCCCTCCTGGTTGTCCCAGGTCTATATATGAGATGATGATACAATGCTGGTATGTATCATTAATTACTGTATTATTAATATTTGTTTGTTTATAGGCATCCAGATACTGGTAGTCGTCCTACATTTGTACAGTTAGTATCAAGACTCTCATTATCTGATGCTAAACTGTTGAGTACAGTATCAAGTGATACTACAGTAATAGGAGGACCACTGGAGACTGGATACCAACTATATACTGAACTACAAAATACTTATAAAAAATAACTACTCTATTACATTTGTGATTTACTCTGTGTGTTGTTCTGTAATGGCAACAGGATTAAAGTCTCAAATTTTTATTCCAGTTAATTAATAATTAATGTAATAGCAATAGCAGTAACTGTTATACCATAAAAAACCCATTATTGGTTTTGAGCTTATATTTAATAATAGTTTATTTTCCTTATAACAAATTAGCGATTTTGGTATGTCACGTACGTGATCTTGAAGAAGAAAATTATTACACGTCACATGGTGGAAAGGTACCAGTTAAATGGACAGCACCAGAGGTATGTACATGTCCTTATCCCATTCTCTGTCTCTCTCTTCCTACTTATTTCCTAACTGTTCCATTACATATTTTCTACATTCCAGGCTTTATTATACAAGAAATATGCACCCACCACTGATGTATGGAGTTCATTGTTTTTGTGTAGTATATGGAGATGATACAGACCAGGTATCGTCTGCCTCCTCCTCCTGGTTGCCCCAGAGGAATATATCAATTGATGATACACTGCTAGTATGTGTGAGTGTGGGTGTGTGTGTAAGTAGAAATAAGAATATGGAAGAGTGAGAAGAGGATTTAATGTGATTTAATTTATTTGTATCTTTTTTGCTTTTACACTCTTTGTCTTGTTTTCTTCTATTATCAGGAATCCTGACAGTAACCACAGGCCAACTTTTAAGGATATTCTTGATAAATTGACGGAGGATCCAGAGGGTCTCCTTCATTGGAGTGATGAGAATAAAGCAGTTCATGAGTCTTCCTCTGTCCTTGGATCAGATTTAGAGGCAGGTCAAGACTTGTATCCTGAACTGCAACAAATTTTTGTTAAATCAAAATTGAAAATATAAAAAGCTACCAATCTTCTTGTTTCTCTCCTATCTCTGTCATTAATCACTCTTTCTCATACCAATAATGTATAATCTGATGATTGTTGTATTTTTATGTGTATATGCTTTTTGCGGTTTTGCTTTTTAATACCGATTTCATTTTAATTTTTAATGTAGATTTTTATATTATGAAATTTGCCTCCACAAGGCTATAAAAATAGATAGTATTATTTAATTAGTTTTATTAAAGTTGATGATGACTGTGACTCTGCATAGTTTATGTAAACAGAATCTTGTCTAAACTGTTATATTGTATTACTACTATTAAGAGTACATAAATCATGTACTCTTGCTACTATGTGCTTACAATAGTTGACCAATAAGGAAGAAGCCAGGGCAGTGTAAAGATGCTGTGTGGATTGATATTGCTGTTTCTTTTCTTTTTGTTGGCGAAAGGTATTAGATAGATCTAGTTTTCCTTTCAAATGATTGCTGTTACTCTCTAGATACTGAGCAATGTACAGAGAGGTTTATGGAGCTACCACTAGTGACATACAGAGCACAGAGAATAGGAATGAATCTACCTCAAAACTTTGGTAGTAATGCACTAAGTGTCCTTCAAGAGTATCAGTTCAATTGTTCATCCACTACTATAACCAGTCTTATATTGGGTATTAATATAAGGGAAGCTACTGGCAGTCGTACACTCTATCCCAGTGTCCAGGTCTTTAGACCTAATGGTAGTCTAGTGACTGGTAGTGAGAGAACTATTTATTATTCTACCTCTAATGTCAGTACTAGTGGAGTGTTTGAATATCCACTCAATCCTCCTATACCAGTAATGAGTGGAGACCTGTTAGCTGTATCACAACCACCTGAAGGAAACAGTGTTGTTAGAGTCTATTACGTCAGTGGTACAGCAATTAGCCAGAGATTTAACTATGGTGCTATGAATTTTAACTTAAATGAAAATCCGGCCACAAATGAGTTGATATTAGTATATCCAGTAACAGGTAAGACACACACTCACTGTATCATTGAATTATTTTACTATCATTAGATGGATACTGTGTTAATAGTACCAATTCAATCAATGGTTCATTTATTAAAGAGAAAGTACTTGAAGTGCAAATATCACAACCTTTCTATCGCCGATACCAGTTCATTTATCCATGGATTGTATTCTCATGTAATGGATCAGTTACTAAATGGATCTTTGGAGCTAACAATAATGGAAACACTGCTATTCAATCTGAGCTCCAAATATGGCGTCAACTGGGTCCCAATAATTACAATAAAACAGGATCTAGTTTAGTTAATGCTAATGCAATGATTGATACTAATCTCTATGAGTTTATTCCTCAGACTCCACTGCAGTTCCAGGAAGGAGACATATTTGGTGTTTATACCGATAGAACTGATGGAGAGAGATTAGTTTTATATGAACAGAGAGAGAGTGGACCAACTAACCTACGAATCAGGGATAGTGTAGATTCTCCTCCATCAACATTATCAGAAGCACTTATAACAGTAAACAATGACTTTCCATTAGTTACTGTGGAGATAAGTAATAAAGCCATTAGTTTTCTATTTTAAATTATTTGCATTTTTAGGTGTTAGTACTGAGTCTGTTCTTGTTATTACCTCATCTGTAGAGAATAGTCCAGTAATTTCTAGTACTTCAGTAAGTTATGAGTTATTTTCATCACATTACGTTCAGTTGTCAAGTACTATGAGTTCTCTATCTCCAACTCGATCCTTTGATTCACCATCCTCCCATTCACAGACTTTCAACATTGTCTCTCAATCAACCATTGCTATTGGATCATCTCGGGTATTAGTGAATTTATCAGAAACTCTAACACCTACAAGCACTCAAACTAATAATGCCATTACTAGTAGCACTAGTACTGCTAGTACTAGTGGTAGTGATAGTGTGTCATTTACGACAACAAAAGATGATACTTTGTTATCAACTTCATCATCAAATGTCATAGGAAGTGCAAGCAACACTAGTGGGTCAATGACAATCATCATTGGTGCAGTGTCATTATTGTTATTAGTAGTGGCTATTGGACTAGTTGTGTCATTGTTAGTTGTTATTACTGCTTGCCGTATAAAGAGAAAGAAGAGTAGAGGGATTGATTCTGTTTCTCAGGATAGAGACAGTGGCTTAAATAATCCAACATACGGAGATAATCATTATGTCAACACAAAACATGGTCTTTGTATAAACTCAAAAGAGCAAAGCTATTCTTATGAAAGTGAGTGTGTATTTGTGTCATGTTGATGTTTCAGTTTAATCTGTGCCTTTTAATGTAATGTAGTTGCTAATGATGTATATGGAGAGCAAGAACTAGTAGGCTCACTGAATCCCTTACTACCAACAAATGACGGTATATCTAATACACTGATGACTTTAGAAATAAATGAAGTATTGTATGGGAACAATGAAACTGAAGAACTCTATTCAGAAGCAGTAGCTGCCCCTACTTCTGCTTTGGTGAGTATACAGAATCCAATAAACATCAGTAACTAATGCACAACATGTTTATACTGATGTAAATTATTTAATTAAAATAAACAGCATTGTTATTTATTATGCTTTACATTGATTACTTATGCTTTCTTGTTTCAGGGCACGTACACAACAACAACCAATGAAAGCAGTGCATATCATACTTTACAGAGAGAATTATTTGTACCTAAAGCAGTGAGTTATCCTAACATGACAATGTCTTATAATTATTCTTTAGTCTGAAAGAAAACAAACTATGTATGAAGCTACAGATGATGACATATACTCATCTCTAGCAGTCACACAGGTTGAAACTGTTGAATAGATCTATTATGTACACAATCAATGTCATTATATTATATTTTAATTTTTAGAATGTATACTCAATGGTTGAAGGCAAAACAATATTCTTTGTTGAAGATCCTATTTACTGGGAGCCAGGGACTGACACTAATGACATATACCAGCAACTGTCTGATAAAAAATACAGAG